AACCTGGTTGTCTACAGTATAAGACTTGGTCTCGAAAAGGAGTGAGGGGGTGAGGGGTGGAGAGATGGCTTAGCAGTTAAGAGTTCACATGTAGCCTGTGAAGTCTTTGAAGTGGGGGCAGCGGGGAGAGAAGATGGGGCAAAGGTCAAGAAAGAGGGAAGGAGGGAAGAAGGGAAGGAGGGAGAGGGAGGGGGAGGGAGGAGATGCATCTCAACGATGGTACTTTTACTTCATACTCTGTATGGCTGTGTAGGGGCAGTTTCTCAGTGCACAAACCAAGACAGCACAGAGACTTGGGGCAAAAGGATCTAAGCTGTAGCATCTGCTCTTGGATAATACTGTTCTTGTTCTGAACAGAGAGGCATATCTCTGTATGGAGACAGACACGGCCCCCAGCATCTTGGGGCTTACTTTACAACAGCCCCCAAAAGAAAAGTTACCAGTATCTGTCGTCAGAAAAGTCCTAGGGATGAAGGTACACAATTGAGTTACATGACGGTGACCAGAAGCATAGGTTAGACACATGCAATCTGTTTCTAGAAGAAAAGAGCCAATAACCTAAAAGGTGACAATAGTCACATCCAAAGCCTTTCAGGATCCCCAGGATCAAGCTCACTGGAGTGGTTCGGAGTTATTCCACGAGCTGGGCCTGGTTTTGACCCCTTCCTCCTTTCCCTCTGCTTCACCAGCTCTGAATGCCTTCCAGCTCACACAGCACAGCTGTCTCGCTCCTGGTCTCCCCGCCTGCTAGTTCCACTGTCTCAAACACTCTTTCTGAGTTCCCCTTCTCACTTGGCTGCCTCCCAACTGTCAAGTGGCTTTTTCAGGTGGGCTTCCTATACCCAGAATTCCTATAATGCCTTGTGCCTTCCCCTTTATTACACTCATTTAGGCCTTATGAGGACTTTTTCTTTTCCAGATACCATCTCCCTATGTAGCCCAGGCTGGCTTGGAACCCACAATCTTCCTACTTCTGCTTCCTGAGTATTGGGGTTACAGGAAATAGCCATTCCTAAATAGGGCTATTTTCTTTTTCTTTTTTCAGTATTTATTTTTATTTTATGTGGAAGAGTGTTTTGCCTGCCCACACTATGTATGTAAATACACCAGGTGCATGCAATGCCCACAGAGGCCAGAAGAGGGCATTGGATCCCTTGGAACTGGAGCTAAAGAAAGTTGTTAGCCACCATGTGGGTGCTGGGAACAGAACCTGGGTCTTCTGCAGGAGCAGACAGTGCTCTTAACTGCTGAGCCATCTTTCCAGCCCCAGGACTGTTTTCTTAGTCATTTAAGTTTCCTGCTAGACAGTAAACTGAGGACCAGGATTGAATCTACATCTTTCACAGTGAAATCCTGAGTCCAGTACCCAGTTTGGCATATGTAACTATTTAAAACAAGTCTTGAAAAAATAATATATTGGAAGAACCATAGACAAAATTAAATGAAAAAGAAAATAGAAAAGCAAATAGTAATAGATACAATTTACTTTATGTGAATTACAGCTTAACCTGTATTATGAACTCTCAATCCATCTATGAAGCAGGAGCTACTTTGGTGACTATTTTACTGTTAAACAAACTGCTACTAAACTTAGAGGAATCAGTGGCACATGTGTATCTCCACATTTATGATGATGATAATACACAATTACTGATTGCACAGCTGTATCACATGATGTAAAGAGGACAGGCTTTGGAACTATAAACATGTAAGTGTGAATGTGGGCTCGACCACTTTCTAGTGAGGTCTTTCACCGAGCTATGAAAACTTTCAGATTACAGTTTCCACATGTATGAAAAATGGAATAAGGGGGGGTGTGGCTGTGCACATTGAAAATCTGAGCCCTTGGGAAGCTGAGACAGGATTCAACCTCCCCAGCATGTTGATTACAAGCACGTACCAACACACCCCAGGCTTTTTTGTTTTGTTTTTGTCACATAATTTGTAGAGGTTGAACTCAGGTTCTCACTATCTCCCCAGCCCATGTATAGAGATTCTGAAAGAATAAGGAAGGGCTGGGAACACTGCTAGAGCATGTACCTAGCACAGGCAAGACCCTGGGTCTGATCCTCAACACCAGCAAACCACACACACACACACACACACACACACACACACACACACACACACCAATGAATGTTAAAGAAAAGTAAGATACAGGGGCTGGAGAGATGTCTCAGTGGTTAAGGGCACTGACTGCTCTTGCAGAGGACTCAGGTTCTATTCCCAGCATGTACATGGCAGTTAACAACCATCTGTAACTCCGGGTCCAGGGGATCTGACACCCTCTTCTGACCTCCACGGGCATTGCATAACATGGGTGCACCTACCTACACCCAGGCATTACACTCATACACATAAAATAAAAATAATAAAAAAGGAAAGAAAAGTAAGATATAAGTGTTTCCTCTTTTTCTCTCATGTATTATAAATACTCATGTATTATTGAAAAAAAAAAAGTCGATGTGACTTGGGAAGACTTCAAAGGCCAGACTGTGCTGCTGAGATATGATAAGTGAAAATATTGTCCCAGTAAGAATTGAGGATCAAGAAAAGAACAAAATGAGGAATGATAGTAAATCTTAAATTCTATGATTCACTTGTTCTCCTAAAATGAGGTAGAACTTTTCCAAAATGTCATTCAATCTTATTTTGCTTTTATAGAAAAGGAAAGTGAAGCAAAAGAATGGAGCCATCTGGAAGCAGAGCCTGTGTGCTCTAATTATGGCCTGTGTACTTTTTATATCACTACATAATATACCTACACAGTGGTCAAAACTGGTCTGGCCTACTTGCAACTCATCACATCAACTGTTTGTAGACATAATGCTTAACAGCCTTATTTATTTATTTATTTATTTATTTATTTATTTATTTTTGGTCTTTTTTTTTGAGACAGCGTCTCCCTGTAGCCCCAGCTGTCCTGGTACTCACTATGTAGACCAGGCTGGCCTTGAACTCACAGAGATCTGCCTGCCTCTGCCTCTTTTAATAAACAATGCAGCATAACTTTAGCTTATGTAAAAGGTCATAGCACCCTCAAGGAAACACAACAAATAAATCTATAAAAGATGCAAATTATAATTTCAGAATCCTGAGGTAGAAGTTTCATTCTTCCATTGCATCTTTAAAAATGCCCACTGTAGGTATTTTTATATCTTTACCCTTTTACAGCTCATTACAAAGGAACGATCAATCAGTTCTATAGCATTCTTAAAACATTTTAAATGAGCCAATGTGGTTTCTTATTACACCCCAGTCTTCTCCCATCACTCCCTTTATTTTAGGCTCTAAAACTTGGGCATCATTTTCTAACCATATGCTACATGCCATGCTGGGGACGATATAACTTTTTGTTTTTATCAAAATGGTACCCTTTTGGTTTAAACTACACCAGGTTTTCCTTAAATTTATAATTCTAAAAAAATGACTTATAAAACAGAAGCTAAACTAGTGGGCCCAATTTAATAGAAAAATACATTAAAATGTTCTTCTTTGTAATTATTTTTTTGCCATTTTACATTTGATAGATTTATAATGAAAATGAATTATTTCTTTCTGGTATTGAGTTGGTATGGAAGTGAGTGAAAGTAGACACTTGCAGACTTAGAAACGCTTTGTGTATTCTCAAGCTACAGTCCCAATTTCCAAAATACACAACAAACATGTGTATGAAATTTAAGATTTTTATTTAAAAAACTGAGCTCTTTCTGCATTCATAGGCTAGAACTTGGAAGTCTGAGGTAATAGATCTCTTCACTAGAGCACTTTTGTCCCTTTAAATTCTTATAAATCATTAAGATTATTGAATGTAGTTAAAAATTGGCAGCAGTATTACAGCTGTCCTGAGTATTTAAAAGTTTTTCTTAAGTCTAAAATAGGGTAGAAACTCTTATGAAATTTCCAGTATTACTTTAAAACAAACAAAAAGTGGTAAAATAGCAAAGATTCTTGGAGGATGGGACCTCTGAAAAGTTCCCAAATGCTGAGGTTGAAATTTGAGACAATTACTTGTTTTTTTTTAAATATTTTATTCATTTATTTTATTATTTTTATTTTATGTGTATGCATGTATTGCCTGCATGCAGGTTAGTGCACCATGTTGTGCAATGCCCGTAGAGGACAGAAGAGGCTGTCAGATCCCCTGGAACTGTAGTTAGGGACAGTTGTTAGCTGCCATGTGGGTGCTGGGATTCGAACCTGGGTCTTCTGCAAGAACAACCAGTGTTCTTAACCGCTGAGCCATCTCTCCAGCCCCTTATTATTTTTATTTTATGTGTTTGAGTGTATTGCCTGCATGTATGTAAGTGCACCCGTGTCCAAGAGGGCATTGGATTCCCTGGAACTAGAGTTACTGAAAGCAGTTAGCCGTCATGTGGGTAATAGGAACTGAACTCGGGTCCTCGGCAAGAGCAATCAGTGCTCTTAACAGCTGAGCCATCTCTTCAGCCCCAACAATTTTTTTTAAACGGGTAAATTCGTATTGGCATTTTAAACTGTTTCCTCATTAACACAAATTTAATATTGTTTGATTTGTTCTGTATTTGGGGTCAGGCCTGGATATGTTTTAATTTTTATCATCATCACCATCATCATCATCAAACAGTGGTTTCCAACGTGAAAGAAACCAACTTTTCCATGAGTCTGCCAATTCCTGAAGAAGTGGGCCATGAGCATTCAGGGAGAATGTTCTTTACTGTCAGATGCAGCATCAGTGTATTAAAGTTACCACAGGAGCGCGCGCGCGCGCGCACACACACACACACACACACACACACACACACACACATACACACACGCAACTTCTGTGTCTGAAGCTTTCAGCAGACAGGGGCAGTTGTACAACAGCAAAGGATGCCGTAGCTACAAATTATTACTCTGTAACATCCAGCCCAAATCTGGGAAGCTGCATGTCCTCCGATGGAAGGGCAGAGTAACTCCCAGGTGGGGACCCCGCTCTGGGCCCCGCCGCTGGGAGGGGGCTGGAGCTGCCTGCTTACCGCGGTGGAGCCTTTCTTCACTGCTTCCTGGGCATACTCCACTTGGAACAGGTGTCCATCAGGGGAGAAGACGGTGATTGCCCTGTCATACCGCGAAGCCATCATGAAGGACCTCACCGAGCTAACACGGCCTCACCTGGGGTTGCTCTGGAGCCTCACCGGCCTCACCACGTGCTAACGCCCATAAGAAGCTGCGCATGCGCTCATGAACAGCTTCCCAGAAGCCCTCTTGCTCCTGATTTTTGCTACTTCCGGGAGGGCTGTCTTCCAGAAGTCTTGCCAACTGGCTACCTAAAGGAAATTCGCAGTGCCTGTGAGTTGGCCTGGTTCCTCCGTTGGCACCCATGGTCTTAAAGCTACCATGCCTTAAAGCTACCGAAATCCGAAATGACAGGAAAGATAACGGCTTAAACATGAGCTCTTCAAAAGTTGTTTTATGTTTTGTTTTGTAGTAGACATTGAATCTAGGGTCCTGCACATACTTAACAAGGGGTCTTCAACCCTGAGCCACACCCCCAGTTATTTATTTATTTATTTTTCCCAATTTTGAGGTAGAGTCTCAGTAAGCAGCACCGGCTGGCAAAGAAACTTGTCATTTTCAAAATAATATGGTTTCTTTATTTTTTTTCCTACTTTGTGAGCAAAATAGAGCCTATGGGAAAATGGGCATTAATTTGAGCAAATAGTCCATCAAACTATTACTAATGACAAGAATGATAGTGTTTTAATTGAAGAAAATTTTTCTGAGGCCAAAGACATGATTGCATGTCTGAAGTTTAGCTATAGCATAAGTTATATAACCTGGTACAACATTACTACTTGTGTAACAAAAACTCTTTGTCCTCATCAGTAAGATGGGAATATTAAAAAGCCTGCAACAATGTGTTCTGAGGTTAAAATGTGTTTATAGGTGTAATAACTTAAAATGGTGCCAGATGGGTACTAACAGGCAGGTAAATGTAGCTATTGTTACTTCCCATGGATTTTTATTAGATGCTGTTTTCCACTGGGAAGAATCTTAAAGTTGGTGAAATCAACCTTTACTTAAAAAAAAGAAATATCATAAAACAGGAAAAGTCATTTCTCTCAAAATTTAAGTGATTCCTAAAAGTGATTTGTATCCATCCCCTCTCCCTTCCATCCCTTCTTCTATATTAGCAACTCTTTAAAAAGTTTGGTTCTCTTGAGAACAAAAATTAGGATTCTTAACCAAAATAATTCTAAGCTCTTGTTTTACAACATCATCATAAACCAACATTTGTTAGAAGATATTTTTGAGAAATAGCTTGTTAAATAATCATCTCTTTTAAGTTTTCATAATTATAGATTCATAAGTTTCAAAAATAGTAGAGCAAAGTCCCTTGTACCTTTTACCTAATTCAGTCAAATGGTAATGTCTTATATACCTACAGAATATTAACAAAACCAGGGAATTGACATTAATATGCTTCATAGAACTTTTCTAGATTTCAACAACTCAATAAATGACACTGTGTTTCTGTGTAATTTATCATGTGTAAGTTGGTATACCACCACCACCACCAAGATCCCTTGGGTTGTCGACCTGAAAAATATACCCACCTCTCCATCACCTTGGACAAAAGTAATCTGTTCTCTGTCTCTATAATTTTATCATTGCAAAAGTTTATGTAAATGGAATCATAGAATACGTAAATGTTTTGTGACCTTTTATATTTAAAATATAGACTCACAAGAAGTTAAGGGAATAATACAGAATGGTCCCTTGTATCATTCAGTTGTTTATGTCTTATAAAATTATAGAACAACAACAAAAAAGTATAGAACAAACAAAAACTATGGAATTGACATTAGTATAGAGGATACCTGCACTTAAAAAAAATATATATATTTTTTAGTTATGTGTGGGTATGTGTATGCCTGTGAATACAGTGCCCTGAGAGGCCAGAAGAGGACATCATATTCCCTGGAGTTACAGGTGGTTGTGAACCAAACGACATGGGTGGTCCTCAGCAAGAGTAAAATGTACAGTCATTGAGCCTATGATTTTAGCCCCATCTATAGCTATCATTGGAAAATATTTTGTAAATGATAGAACTTCTTACAGGACACATTTCAGAAATATTAAGAATGGTTAACACTTCCAGACTCCACAGTGAAACTACATCTTAAGAACTTTGTGTCTTTATATAGATATATTTCGTTCACTAAAATTAATTTTCCTAGCTATAAAATAGGGGCAGTATCTATTACATAAAGTTGTTGGGATGAATAGATGAATCAATGGATTAATGTTCCCATGACTACCTGTTACAGAATAAGCTTTTTAAAATGACAACTATTGTTATTTATTATTGAATTAAGCAAAAAGTGATAACTTTGAAACAGAGAAATCAGGAAGAGTAAAACTGTAACATTAAGCCAGGCGTGGTGGTATATGTCTTTTAATCCCAGCACTCAGGAGGTAGAGGCAAGTGGATCTCTGTGAGATCAAGGCCAGCCTAGTCAATATAGCGAGTTCCAGGTTTACTGGGGCTACAGGGAGACCATATCTCAAAAAAAACCAGACAACACACACACACACACACACACACACACCAAACAAACAAAACACTGTAGTCCAACCAGTTCATACCTTTTAAAAATGTATTATTTAAGCCAGGCGTGGTGGCGCATGCCTTTAATCCCAGCACTTGGGAGGCAGAGGCAGGCGGATCTCTCTGATTTCAAGGCCAGCGTGGTCTACATAGAGTTCCAGGACAGCTGGGGCTACAGGGAGACCCTGTCTCAAAAAGACCAAAAAAAAATTATTATTTAAATCAGACATGATGGCGCCCACCTGTAATCCTAGCATTTGGGCGATGGAGGCAAGAAGATGAGGATTTCAAGGTGATCCTCTTATATATAGTGAGTTCAAGGCTAGCTTGAGCTACATGAGACCCCACTGGAAAAAAAAACCATAAATGAATCAGAAAAAAAAATCTATATTTGGACAAATACGTGTTTCTAAATGTATAGAGAAAAGAGTGAAAGGAAATACATCAAGTTAGCAAAAGGGTTTTCTTTGCATGAAGGTAGAGATTAGAAAGATACAGTCTGAAGAAAGAAGTTGCTGTTCTAATGTATATAGATATGTTATCTAAAATTTCATTTATTACAGCATAGTTTATACTTAACAAAAGCAGCAACATGAAACAGTTTAAATGCCTAGAGGTTTTCAACAATACCAATATTTTTATTTATTTAAAAATTTAAAAAATTATTATTTTTAAATATTTATTTATTTATTTATTTATTTAGTCTTTTTGAGACAGGGTCTCCTTGTGGCCTTAGCTATCCTGGAACTGACTATGTAGACCAGACTGGCCTCAAACTCACAAAGATCCGCCTGCCTCTGCCTCCCAAGTGCTGGGATTAAAGATGTGCGCCACCACGCCCAGCAATTATTTTTATTTCATGTGTATGAGGTTTTTGCCTGCATGTTTATAAATGCATATGTGTGTGCAGTGCCCATGGAGGCCAGAAGAAGTCGTGGGGTTCCCTGCAACTGGAACTATAGGTAATTGTTAGCTGCTAGGAACTGAACCTGGGTCCTCTGCAAAAGCAGCCAGTGTTCTTAACCACTGAGCCATCTCTCCAGCTCCCATCAATAGCACTCTTGATAACTTAGGCTAAATCTCCTATTAAGAACTGTCCTAGTTTCTTTCTCCATTGCTGTGAGAGAACACTGACCACTACCAAATTGGGGAGGAAAGGGTTTATTTGTCTTACATCTCCCAGGTCACAGTTCATTAGGGAGCCCAAGGTAGGAACTCAGGGCAGGAACCTGGAAGCAGGAGCTGGAGCACAGGCTGTGGAGGAACTCTGCTTACTGCCTTGCTCTCCTGGCTCCTGCTTAGCCTCCTTATGCAACACAGGCCCACCTGCCCAGGGATGGCATCACCCACAATGGGCTGGGCCCTCCCACATCACTCAACAATCAAGAAGGTGCCCATGGACATGGCCACAGGCCAGTCCAATGAAGACAATTCCCCAATTGAGGCTCCCTCAACCCAGGTGTGTCAAGTTGACACTAAAGCTATCCAGCACAAGAACCACTATAGATACTGATAAAAAAAATTTTTAATGAGTGATAACTCAGTGGTTTAGAATGGGTACTGCTCTTTCAGAGGACCCAAGTTTGGTTTCCAGAACCTATGTCAGGTAGCTCGAGCTCTAGTAGATTTCTAAATCTGGTCTCTGCAGGCACCTGCACACACATGAACATATCCACATGCAAACACACATACATACACATACTCTGAAATAAAATAATTTTTAAAAAATCTATGTTCTTTCTCTAAAAAGCTAACAAGGTATGGAGACTTGTGGTGTTGTGATTCAGACCAAAACAGAAAGATGTTTGGCTTTTACCCTTTAAGTATTTGCCTATTCCCACAGCATAGTTGAGAAATTAAAGTTGACTTTTAGTTGACAGAAAGTAAAGTTTAAAGCCTGTCAACATGTTATGGTAAACATTTAGGCTTTCATTGACACAACACAGAAGTAAGGTCAAAACAAAAGGGACCTTCTCTCCATGCTCTGCACAGTGTCTGCTCACTTTTCCTCCTCCGCAGCTGTGCCTGACAAACCCATTATGACAGAAATTGAAGAATTTGCTAAATCATAACTGAAGATCACAGAAACATAAGACAGTGACTCGTTGCCTTCAAAATAACTTTTAAAATTACGTGTGTGTGTGTGTGTGTGTGCCATGGCATGTATGTGGAGGTCAGAGGACAATCTCAGGTGTCCTCACCTTTCATTTGTTCACTGCTGCATTCACTGGCATAACTGTCCTACAAGCTTCTGGGGTCTGGGGGTCTGACCTCAAGTCCTTATGCTTGCTCAGCAAGCACTTTACCAACTGAGCCATCTCCCCAGCCATAAAATAAATTTTGAACAAGAGAAACTAGCAGGCAAATTGCAATGAGGCCTGTGCTACCAATATGCACTGTCCATTCAATAAGCATGGCCTTATTTTACTATGTTTAGCTGTTTTACTTTGTCAGATGCAGGAAATTAGATCAGGCTTAGATAACTTTGCTATCCCTTTCCACAACAAAGAGTTAAGGACTACTGACAAGAAAGGCTATGCTTGACTGTTGCATCTGTGAGGCTAGCTGGTGGCAAAGAAAAAGATCTCATATTGGTATAGGAAGAAG